ATGCACCTAGATAATGCCAGAGAAGTTTGGGAGGATCTGAGACAGAGATTTGCTCAACGCGATGCAGAGAAGATCTTCGCAATACAGAACGAGATCTATAATCTAAAGCAGGGGAACCGGACTGTGAATGAGTACTATACTAACTGCTGCACTGTTTGGGAGGAGATGAATGCACTTAGGCCACTTCCTATCTGCAAATGCATACCGAAATGTTCATGCGATGTCGTTGATGAAATTCGGAAGGAACGAGACACCGATAAAGTTATACGGTTCCTACAAGGACTTGGAGATGACTATAGCAATCTGAAATCCAATGTCCTAGTTCTAGATCCTCTCCCTGAAGTCTACAAAGTGTTTGTAATGGCAGAGAAAATAGAGAGACAAATTGCTCTTACAAACATGACTCTAGGCAGGTTCGAGACAGCCAAGCAAACTCAGTACATCAGGATCAATGACTTACAAATGAAACAGTTGCAGCTGTGAGTTTCTATAATGCAAAGCGTAATACTAACACCAACAAATGAGCTAAGTGTTCGTTCTGTGGAATGCATACATACGATAGATAAATGCTTCAAGAAGCATGGCTATTCTCCAGGGTGGATTGTGGGGTACAAATCAAAAGGGAAACAAAATGTTGCTGCTGTGAATTCATCCTCCGATACTGTGGAACCGTCTAGAACCATTTTTGATCAACAAGAGAGATTGATCTCCCTTCTTCAAGCTCAAGTTGGACAGTCTCCAAGCCAGAAAACCACTACGGCTGTCTCATTGATCCCTCACTTCAACGAGGATAAATCTGGAGGTGAAGGCAAGTATTCTTTCTCTCATATAAATGCTGATATATTGTCACCTTCTACTTGGATCCTTGATTCAGGAGCCACAGACCATATAGTCTGTACCACCGATTTCTTTCATGATTATTGCACAACTAATAGTACTGAGGTGAATCTACCTACGGGAGATCCTATCAAAGTCAAACATCTGGGAAATATTAGGCTCAATGAACAATTATGGTTAAGGGATGTTCTTCATATTCCATCTTTCAGATTCAATTTAATATATGTGAGTAAGCTTCTACATGATACTTGCTATAATCTAGTTTTCTCACCTGAACAATGCTTGATTCAGGACACTCTTGGAACGACAGTTGGTTTGGCTATACTGGTGAAAGGTTTATACTTACTGTTGGATACACCAAAGACTCAAGATATTGTTGATATAGTTCATAGAAATGTTGCAGCACACTGTAATAATGTTGAAATTTGGCATAAAAGACTTGGCCATTTTCATTCCCATAAATAAACTGCATTTCTTAGTTGATATAAAGCCTCCTGTCACTAAGAACTTAGCTTGTGATGCTTGTCATTTTGCCAAACACAAAAGGTCTCCCTTCCCATTAAGTGTCACAAACTCGAAAGCTTGTTTTGATTTAATTCATGCAGATATATGGGGGTCTTTCCCAGTTTGTTCGTTGCAAGGGGACAACTATTTCTTAACATTAGTTGATGACTACTCCAGGTTCACGTGGCTTCACTTAATGAAAAGGAAAAGTGAGGCTAAGCAGTACATAATGAAATTTCATGCTATGATCCTTACTTAGTTTGGGACCTTGATTAAAGTAATCTGGAGAGAGAACGGCGCAGAATTTAATATGGAAGACTTCTATACCGAGAAAGGGATTATTCATCAGAAATCTTGTGCTTACACGCCACAAAAAAATGTCGTAGTCGAACGCAAACATCAACACATCCTCAATGTTGCAAGGTCCATTCGGTTTCAAGCTTCCTTGCCTATTGAGTTTTGGGGACAATGTGTGATGCATACTGTGTGACGCCCCGTATTTTCCTAAAATTAATTATCGTCCCAATATTAAATAATTTATTAAAAATATTTATATATCTATTTATTTTAAAAACGGGCTCGGGTATATCTAGTATTGTGAACCAGTGTTTCTATACCCAAATATCCTGAGCCCAAATTTGTTTTAAAATCCTAAGAAGCCTAATAATTATTCTTGAGCCCAGATGTATTTTCCTATATAAGTCTTGAACCTAAATAGTCAAGCCCATGAGTATATGTGTAAATATATATATATATATATATATATGTTACTATTTTTGTATGCCCAAATTATGGGTGTGTATGGTTTTGACCCAAAAGAGTCACCCAACCCAATTATCTAAATACAAGTGTGAGCCCAATCTTCTCATTGTAACCCAAATCCAAGATAGAAATCTAACCTACTCAAAATAGATGAAATATGGAGATGTTATGTTTCATGTCGGCCGATCTCCTCATCTCCCCCATTTGAAATGTGAGCTAAGCTAGATAGTAGCACCCTCCCGTTATCTCTTTTCTTTGCCTCTCCCTCTATCACCTTTCTGGCGGCGAAGCATCAACCAACATCCATCACCTCCCTCTCCTTCTCAGCTCCGCTACTGGCAAGAACAACCGAAGCAGCTTCGGTGGATGGCAAAGGCATGTGGCGTTGTCTTGCTCTCGGCGGCGGTGCATCATCAAGTAGAGGTGGATGACCAGGTGGACGGCGGCAAAGCAACGGAGTTTGCACAGTAGCAAGCTGGAGGCCAGCGTCGTTCCCTGTTTTCGGTGAGCTTCTCCTCCGGTGGTGATGATTCGGGCAGTTCGTGGAAGCTTGCTGCAGCTCTTGGCGGTGGAGGTGTGTGGCGGTGACGGTATCGACGGAGCTCGGTGATGGCTTCTCTCCTCCGTTCCCGGCGTGGTAGCTTCTCCAGCGACATCGAGGCTTGGTGGCAGCGGGCAGAGCCGCGGGTGGGAGTTTTGCCGTGGTTCCACCCGCGGCATGGCATCATGAAGAAGACGAAGAAGAGCGTGGTGAGCTTCTGTTTATGTTGTTTGTTGTTGTTTAGATTAGGATAATTAGTTTGTTGTTAGGTTAAGTTAATAAGTAGTGGATTAGTATAGTGGTAAGCGTGGTGGGTGTGCTTGCGTGTGGCTATCTTTCGATCTTTGCTTAAGGTATTAAGCTAATATTAGTTTTAAGTAATAGTTCTATTTATTAAGTTTTGGTTAATTAGCTTATCTATTAGTATATTAGTGTTGTGATTAATTAACAATAGGATGCCTAGCTTAGATGCTTGAGCTTGTGGGTAATTTAAGAAGGAACTAGGGTTCAAATCCCCTTATAAGTTTAATTAGTTTTAATTAGTACTTTTGTTAATAGTCGAGGATCGGTTTGATTCACAGGTTCCCGATAGCTTGGCTTTATGGGTTGAGCCTATGTTGGCGTTGGTTTTTGTTGGATAAGTGAATGAGGTAACCCATGCTCTACAAAATCTATTTTACTTACCTATATGATGATTTCTTAACTTCTACTTGTGTTTTTGCTATGAAATGTGAGTGTTGATGCATTGTCTTGTGAAAATGCATATCTAGAGCTTGTTATTAGGGTTCATGTATGACATTGCTTGGCTATTCCTTTGATTCAAGTCATGTTTTTGTATTTGGTGAGATTTTGGGTGTTTTGGACTTGAATTTGAGCTTGGTGTTGAAAATCCCCGAAGGGATTATTTTTTGTACAGGGCATGTACCCGTGGGTAGGGGTCCACCCGCCGCCCCACCTGTGGGGTACAGGCGTGTCGTGGGATGGTTTCTGCGGGTGGAACCACGGGTGGGGGTCCACCCGTGGCCCTATCCACGGGTACATATATGTTGGTTGTTGGAGATTTGTTCAACGTGATTCTTTTGACTCGGTAATTGATGTTTTGACTTCCCGATGTTCTCTTGTTAGGCTATTTGAGTGTATTCTTGATCTTTCGTATGTTTAGAACTATATGGTAGGATTCCATGTAGATTTTGGTGTCTTGAATCGTGCTAAATGTTCAACCTTGTGATTCGTTAAACCATGATGAGTCTTGTACGTTCTTCGGAACTATGTTTGGTTTACCCGTTTGATAAGCACGTTAGTTTGGTGTCGAAATGCTAGTGTGTGGTTTGTTCCTTCCTATTGTGGATGATAACTTGTGTTGATCATCGTTGGAGTCGGATTGTAATCCTTCATTGATTGAGTATGGTTTCATATCTTCGTTGTGATCCGTTGATTGATTCCTATGGTGATGTGTGTGTTGGCTGTACCTAGATTGCACGATTAATGGAATGGGACATTAATCACCAGGGTACAGATGTAGTCCTCGTGGTGGCCATGAAATGATATTATGGAGTTGTAAACTGGGCTTCAGGCTCATGTGATTTGGGCTTCAGGCAACATGAGATTGGTGGTTGTGTGATTGATATGTTCGGTACCCTCGTGTACTTTGAGATCGGTGGTTTTGACTTGGTGGATGTTGGAGGAGGAACGACGGTTCCCAGAGGCATAAGGTTGGACTTGGAAGTACAGGGTGGCACTCAGAGGTAAATGTTGGATCTAGTTATAAGGTTGGGGGTAGCCATAAGGTTGGAACCGGGCATAAGGATGGCATATTGAACCTGGAATGTGTAATATGTGACATGTAGTGTCACGGTGTCACGGGTTGCTAATGTGTGTGATTGTTTATCCTCTTCTTTTGAACATGTCGAGGGGTATTCTACTTTGTGATCAGTAGAATACACCTCAAGTTGTACTTGTTATCGTTGTTGTCTTTGACGTGATGTTTCTACTTTGTGATTAGTAGCTTACATCTTGAGCGGTGTTGAGTTGTTCTGTTGTGTCTTGTCTTGACGTTTTGGGATGTGATTCCCTTGTTCTTTGAGAGTGGATTAGAGTCTGTATTGTTGACTTCTCTCCTTTTGGTTTTGAACTGATATATACAGTATCCGGTTTCGAAAATGATTTTGTATAACACTATCTATATATGCTATTGACGCGTATTGATGGGTTACCAGCATCTTTCGCTGACCGGGCGTCTTCCCATTTCTTTACGTGCTTTTCAGGTCCTGAGTAGTCGGCGAGCGCGTTAGAGATGGATAGTTTAGTCTCCCAGACAGTTTTAGTTCTGTTTTGGGCCTGTGTGCCCCTTATATTGAACAATAGGTTAGATTGTTGATGATGGTTTTTGCCTATGCGTTCACAATGGTGTGAGCGTGGCATAGCACTCCCTTTTTCCTGGCTTTATATATATAGTCTTCCGTTGTGTTTTGCTTGTGTTTGTGGTTAGATTATCTTGCATATTTAAGTTTAAAATGGCATGAAAATCGGGGGTGTTACATACTACCTTCCTAATCAACAGATTATCCTCCCCGGTGATTGAGCTTTCAGCTCCCTATCACAGGTTATATGGTAATGATCCCGACTTGATGAAGCTTAGAGTTTTTGATTGCCTTTGCTATGCCTCGAATTTGTCTCATTTTAGGCACAAGATGGCACAACGAAGCAAGAAGTGTGTGTTTATTGGCTTACCTGCTCATACAAAAGGATACCTCTTATATGATCTACATGCGAAGAATATCTTCATATCAAGAGATGTAAGCTTTTATGAATTGCAGTTTCCCTTCTCCAACGATGAGGC